CGTTCAACTGAAGTCGCTTTTCATTCGCCAGCTTCTTGTTCTTACTTTCCCGTTCCATCCAAATGGTGCCTGAGGCGCCAGAATATAACTGCTGCACCATTTAACGTGGAATAGGAGAATTCAAGCAAGAAGCTGGTGAATGAGAAGCTGACTTCAGCTTCGTGAATTTTTAGTGTTTGACAGTTTCTCGTTGCAGATTAAACATATTAGGAAACCAGCTAGAATGATTATAAATGCAAGTAAGTCCATTCTTCTCCAAATTATCGATGTTCATCTTATATCTCTTTGCCTTTTCGTTAGCTACTAGCTAGGCGAGATCGTTGTCTTGAACAAGACCATTTATTGTTAAAACTGTGTTAGAACGATCAGCAGAGCTTTATTTTACTGCAAAGGAGGATTATTTTATTTTTATCTAAAAATCAAATTCTGCTCTGAAGCTGCAACAGGGCAGTAAATGAGACGTATGTGGCTCTGGAGCCGCATGTTGCTGTGCTATACCCCTGGTATAAAGTAATTAAAAAATAAATAAATAAAAAAATTAAAAATTGTACTAAAACAACTCTAGTAGGGATAAATATGATAAGTATAAAAACTACTCATAATTACTTGGAGGTTAAGCCCATAAAATCCCAAGCTTATTACATAAAAAGGCTTATTATAAAGGCACTTCAATGCAAACTGGCTGAGCTATTCTTAAGTTGGTGTGTAATAAAACTTTGGGCCTGGTGGTGACCCCTGGCCATTTAAAGGGGTTAACATTCACCTTATAAAAGTAGGTCTGATGCCTAAGGGCTCTCTTGGTTTATTACCTAACTAAGCTATCCAATTAGCATACCATGAATGTTGGCGTACACTAGCTAAATTTAGCTAGCTAGAAAGAACCGAAATAGAACATAAACCCAACAGCTTTAGGTTTGATAAAGTGCTGTCTTAGTTAGCTGGCCAGCTAATTGCTTCCTCAGAACGGAAGCTGGAAGACACACATATAAAAGTAATCGCTATCATGAGTATGGTCAAAATTACAGTTGTAGGGAAAATGTACTGTAATGACTGTAGTTCATTACTTCCCACCTCATTAAACTCATTAAAACAGTGAGTGAAAACAGAAAACACAGAATGCTTACTGCAGCTAGTTGGTCTTCATCTTTGTTGGTGATGGTGGTTAATGAGACTTGCAAGCGTTACAAAAAAGCACTTTGTGCAGTGAGAGCCGCACGGCGAGGGTGTTGTCATTAATGGCGCAGAAATGCACCCCCACCTTTTCTCCCGGGAGCCAGTCCTCAGCCTTATGTCCTGCTCTTCGCTCGAGCCCAGCTATGAGTCACATTTTGGCGTCGACATGGCTTAGCCAGTGCCATTTTTCTTCTACAAGGCGGTTCCACCAATATTTCCAAATTCTACATTCATACTTTCATTGGACGCTATGGCTGAATGCAGCTCTAGGGCTTTGTTTTAAAACAAGTCACGCTATAATGAGGCATTAAAGACCAAAATCTTAGCAGCAAAATGTCATGATACTCCTCATAAACTGAGCATGTATAACCTTCAGACTTCTGCAGCTGTTCTGCTGTACTTATAAGTAATTATATTTTCCTAATTAATTACAGTTACATAATGAACTGCATTTATATTCGTGTTGCAGTCGGTACAGGCTCAAATCTGCATTTCTGACTTGCTGAACAGCGCAGTACTCCTCATAAGTTTACCATGCTTCATTGTTGGTGAGACTTCTGAAATTTGGTGGAGTGGTTCTTTAAAGTATGAACAAGGGGAGTGTGCATGAAGTCAAGAGGAAGCAGCTGTGAGCAGTGAAACAAACACACACACACAGATGTGCCGTCAGGTTTTGTGCTGCGAGCTGGCATCTAGACGGCTGCAAATGCATAAAGTGCGCTAGACTTAAACAGTTCATCTCAGTGCTGTCTGGGAAAACCATTACAAGCACCCAGCTTTAAAATATGCCCCGACACCTGGGGAGGCGTCTGGCCTCCGTCTGAACACTGTGGTATGGTTTTGTGAAAGAGATTAATACCCACCCCCAAGTCGCTAACGTTCACCCCCCCCAACCTTCTTTTAAATCGAGAAGTTGCTCTAAATTTCCTTCCTGACCCCCAGAGTGTGCTCTGAAAAACACGCGCACAGTCAGCAGTCTAGAGGAGTCGTGTCGCTTGTTGGATGAGTACTGAGAAACCCCAAAATTCTCCACAAATCATCGAGCCTGACCCAGTTTCTGAACATTAGTGTGTTGTGTGTGTAGCGGTGGTGTATCTTGGTTAGCATAGCAACTGCGGTCACGCACAGTTTTGGAGTCAGTGACTGGATCAATCTTCTAATTTTCAAAGAATGCAGCCTCTGCTACATGTTTAAGTGCTTTTCTCAGATATCTGTCCTATATAAAAGTTCTGCAAGTCGACCACTAAGTGTGTGCTAGTATTTCTGGAGTGAATTTGTTCTGTAATTAGCTAATAATTGCTAAAACTGCTAATCGCCAACTTCTAAAACTGCAGCAATTTTCTAAACAGACTTGATCTTGGAACATTTCCCTCAGTTTGCTTTGTAGTTCTATTCTGTTCATTTCATCTAGTTAGAAATATTAGGAAAGACTTGCGTTAAGGTGAAGGTTTCATCAGGATAGACAGATGACAAAGAAACGAAGGATATAGAGACGACAGAGTGAGAGAGGGAGGAAGAGCGTGGACATGCGCCTCAATATTATGTAACCACTGAAATGGATGACGGAGGAATTTAGATTTAAGAAACAGCATAAAGGGAAACTGTGTGAAAGAAAGAGAGAGAGACAGGGAGAGGGTGAGAGAGAGAAAGCTTGGCTTGATGGTCGGAAAGTAAAACTAGAAAGAAATCCTTTGTTGGTCATCTGTACTTCAGTGAGGTGCAGATTCAGCTGCCACAACAGAGGAGAGAACAGAGGAGGCTTAAAACAAGCTGTGGAAAAAAATGATCTGATTAATTCTGTCCATTAAATGCTGTTTAAATCCTTGCAAGAAAAAAAGCCCTTATTTACTAATGTGCTGCATTATTATTAGTTGTGTTTGAGGCTTAGTACATAGGGGTGCTTTCACACCAACTTGTTTGGTCTGGACCCTCTGACTTTTCCATTTGGTCCGAACCAAAATAGCAGGAGTGAAAGATTGCCTCGGACCACGGTCCAGACCAACGTACCAGACCAACGTACCAAACCCATGGTTTGGTTCGTTTGCGGTGCAGTTTTTTTGATGGTTTGAACTTTCTGACCAATTACAGTAAGTTGAGGCAGGCTATCATCAGCTATAAAACAACAGAGGAAGAAAAAGAACTGGGAGAGAATTAAAGGTGGTGGTAGCACATGGGAAGAGGAGGGGACGAAATGTTTAATTACAATTTGGTCCAACGAAAAAGTCAAAAGTCAACTTGAAAAAATGCATAAAATGCAAAAAAAAACCCTTTTTTTCTGAGAGAATAAAAGAGAGGTTATTAATTTTTCTCCATTCAATCGGAACACACTGACATCAGACGCACACTTCTCTACAAACCAGTGTTAAGTAAAGGGAGACGCAGTCCATGTAGGTGATGACAGAACGTAGGTATGTTCTTTAGTGCACTCGTTAACATGTGACGTGAAACCAAAAATAACCAGATTAAATGTATACAGTATAACAAAAACATGAAGCTTGGTTTGGACCCCCAGGTGTGAAAACACCCTGAGATGTTAAAGTAATGTTTGGCCAAAACTTACACACCCCCCCCTTATAAGCCATTATACAAAATGCATGTCTAAATCATCACAGACTTGATTTAAACCACGTGAAGATGATAAATAGAATGTTAGAGTGTTAAATAGATGAAAGTACATACAAAATTCAGGCTGCTACTATTGTTTTTATTAGCCACTTGTTAGCTTCTGTCCATTTTCATAGACACTTTTATAGATAACGATGGGAAAATTATGTAAATTAGACTTGTATGTTTTTTAACTGCTCTTCATTTTCCTGAAGAAGCTGTAGAGTAGTGATACGTGACAGGCCGAGATCCAGTCTCTCCATAAACCTCTTCATTAGCTGAGAGGAAGCAGAGCTCTGTTATTTTCTTTAAGTGTTTAGAGAAAACAGCAAGCCTTCCCTTCCTCTCAAAGTTATTGAAACCAAGTTTAGGTCTGGCTTTTACAGCTTCCTCAGTATGAACCTCACTGCAGGAGGTAACAGCTTTACTCCTCACCCCAAATCTGGGCCTGATGTGGACTGTACATGCCTTCCCCATAAAGCACGGGGTGTTGAGGCTGTATCTGGTGGAAATATTAGCGTGATTATAGCTTAGCTACATGTCAGAGAGACATTTTATGCTGCTGGCCCCTTCACCTGCTCAGACCAACCTGCAGTCCAATAATGAAGTAATGTAATGCTGCACATTCTCATCTCTAACACACTGATGCTGAGTGACGCAGTGACAAAAGCCAAACGTTTTATTAAAAAGGCCATCCAAGGAGGAACCTGCTGGGGTCCTTTGTAGTGCCTGCCAAAGCAAAAGCCTCATTTTATGTTTTTTTTTTTTATATCACCAGTTTTCAAGCCCTTGCGTAAATGTCAAAAGGGTTGGCTAACAATGGGGAGTCATTCTGGAGAAAACAACTGGGTTGACATGCTACTATTACTATTTTGCTTATGGTATGATTTACTAAAATGATGTAAAGAAAGGTTAATTTTTGAAACTGAAGACAAAGTTGGTCCTGATTTTATACAAGCTGTTTTTCTATGATCAAAAAGTTGTTATAGGCTACTGAATACTTCTATATTTAATACATTAAATGTTGTTGCTGTCTTAGGAAAATCTCTGAAACATTAATTTTACAGAAGAAAAAGTTGTTCTTAATGTGATTTTATACGTTTTTTGTTAAATTGCTCTGTCATGAAATACACAATGTACAGAGCACAGAAAAACGGTTCTATATTGAATATTGCTACGCTAATAACATGCAACTGACTCTTCCTCTAATTATATCTTTCCAGGGTCGCTGTATGAACTTCACCCGCATCAAGTCCAACACCCCACCCCGTTACCCTGCCTACAGTCACTCCACCCCCATCTACAAGCCCCAGCAAGGCTGCAGCCCCCCACCACCCCAGAGCCAGCTACCCCCTCCCCCCTGCCCTCCTCCATCCACTCCTCCTCCTCTTTCCATCACTCCATCCCCACCCATCACTCCTCCTCCCTCATATTCACCACCGCCAGCCTGGTCTCCACCCTCCTCGCCTCTTTTCTTCGCCCCGACCACACCCACAGGCTCTCTGCCTCCTCCCCCTCAGGCTCCACCCCCCGGGAGAGCTCCGCCACCTGAGCGCCCACCGCCACGCCCCTCTCTTTAGGGCTGAGGCTCTGACTGGATGGAGAGGAACAGGAAGTAAAAACTTGACGGCAGGACGTCACCAGAAGACTCGAGAAGTAAAAATCTGAGGGCAGGAAGTGCAAAAGACTCAATTTTCCCATATCCTCCTTCTCTTGTTTGCAAAACCACAACACGGTTGTGGCCTTTGACAGTTAAAAACTTAATTGCATGGACCCACCGGAGGAAACGAAGCGCCCGCTCTCTTGAAAAATGCTAGGAAATGGAATACAACTCACTTTTAAGCCATAAAACTACCGGGACTAGAGGAAGCAATATTCCAGACGACACTGAACAAACCAGTCAAGACTTCAAAGCTTAACAGCAGACTCTCACAAAAAGACCACCACTGCTCACCCCCAGTGACAAAATGGACATTCACTTCACACAATTTGCTTGTTAATGAACTCCTGAGAACATAGAGAATGGTAATAGCGGGGAAAAGCACTGACCCATGCCAAAATTAATGGATGCATATATTGCTGTTTCCCAAAGGCAAAATTCATGGAGCTACAGAATTTTACCAAAAAGCCCACAAAGCGACCACAATGCACGAATGATTTGAGATATGTATTCAGTGGGAAAAGTTGCAATATACATACATTTTCTTTTGAATTTACCAAGACATCCACCAACCTGCTTGTGTAGGAAGTTTGTAGATAAATCATTACAGGCCTATGCTAACGTGCAATGACACTAGTGTACTTGACAATGTCAAAGCATGGTACTTTGACATTTCTTTGGTCTAGGCTAGTTTTTTTATTTTTATCATAAATGTACTTTAAACTACAGACCAAAGAGCAAAAACTAGAGCAATCTTAATCTTACCAAAGGAAACATTCACTCTTATGTTAGTCATTCGCTTGTGCAATAGTGCTTTCAGTAAAAGGTCTAGGTGGAACATTCTGGAGTGGGGGGTGGAGCTCTGAAGAAACAATATCTCCTGAAGAAATGAGAGACATGCTAGTTGAGATATGGAGAGCAGGATAAACCTAGAAAGGTGTCTGTGCACGGGTCTTTTGGGCTATCAATGCAAAAAATAAGTGGATGTAATCTATTCAACACCTTACTTTGCACAATACATATCTGTAAAGGTGTACAAGAGCACAATTACCTGAGCTATTTTCCACATACTTTTATACATGCATTATGTATAAATATATGTATCCCTTCGCCTTTTCCTTTTTGATTTGATATCAGATAAGAGGTATTCTCGTTTTTGTTTACTTAACTGTCAGATAGAGGCTTATGATTGCATTGGCTGGAGCATGGTAAGTTTCTAAAGGAAGTGTTTTGCACACCTGGGAAGTTCAGTAGTTAACATTGAAACTGAGAATTCTGATTATTTTCATTAATCTCACGTCTGCCACATTACATCTTCGGAACACTGACCTAGAATAACCACAAGAGACCATTACGAGTAGCTTTGTTCATTGGAAACCTTTGCTAGCTTGCCAACGAAAACGTGTTCTGGTCAAGGACTAATATGCCACAAGTGTTTGTTTGAATATGTTTGTTTTCCTCTGTACCTGTTGTATATACATCATGTCACACTTTTACATAATGCGTAATCCTTTTTTGTTTGTGTTTTTTTTTTGCCGTTTTCAGCATAAGTTATTACAGTAACACTCATGCCAAAACCGTCTTTGAATGACACTCATGGCCTGTTTTCATGATAGTTCAGTGGTCTTCCATGCTGGGTGACTGTAAGGAATCCAAAGCAAATCAAGACAGCAGGCATTTTTTTGTACTTGGCATTCTCCTTGTGTTTTGCATCACTCACTAAAATAGTGACAAATAAGAGTTGTGTGTTTTTTTCTTTGACGGAGTGCTGGGGTAAAGAATGTCAGACAGACTAAAAGAATGTCAGACAGACTAAAAGGAGAACGCAGTTTGAAAATGGGAATAAACTTTGACTACTCACGAGTTTCAGAAAAATCTTTGCAGGGACTGAAAATGTATTAACTAGTAAATTCGAACACGTGTAAATTTGTGTGCATATCACTATGGATGTATCTGTGGACACTTATCAATCGACCTGATAAACTGGCCACTTATTTTCTGTTAACACGATAAAATCTTTTTCTCTACTCTCATGACACTTTCAATTTTTAATGCATCACTATGTCTTCTCTCCAAACTTAGTCCTGGCCAGACCATCTCCTTGTACATAAAGGCCCGTCCACACCTGGCATCATCTCACGTCTTGGGTAATCCAATCAGCGGACAGCACTAGGTATAGGTGTGAATGGGGTCAAATGTGTCTTGGAGATGCACTGCGACCCAACCACTCAAACCACCCTCAGAAGAGGTCAGGGACATATACAGCCACAAAGGACTGCCTAATTAACTGCGTCATCATAGCAAGAGACGAAAGGGGCAGCATAGCTTCCTTTTTCGTCTCCCATTTGTTTAAGTTGCATTTGCAATCCACATGATCTAAATATCTGTAACAGCTCACATGTGTACAGGAAAAAGGACTTGTGGGACTTTTCTGATAACAAGCACTGCGACAGACTGATGTACTAAATGTGTGCGATACTGTATCTCCCTTCTACCCTTTCTTCAGTCATGAAATCTGATCAAAAGCCATTACAGGAGAAATTTCAGACCTATGGAAATGCCAGGTGTAAAAGACTATCTTACAGTCCAGCTGTGATCAGATCATTTGGTATGAACAGGGCAATATATATGTATATACAGAACCAGAACAGTCAAAAACTTGCATAGTATCACTAGATTTGGCCCTGAAAGAGTCTTCTTTATTTTTCTATTTTCCTATTTTTCTGTTTTATTTTTTAGAATGACAGTGAAACATAAAAACAGCGAAATAAAACAGCTGGGGGTGGATCATTTCATACACGTATTTTTATCCATGTAAATGTTATGCTTTGCAAGCAAATTCACACATAGGCATCAACTTTAACATTTATACTTGTCTTAGAAACACATTTAATGCATTTAAGTGTAAGCTTTACAATTTAAGAGCAATCTTAAAGACTGGTATCAGAGCCAATCTGAGCATTTTTAAAGGCATCAGGTATCAGCTGTATCAAAATAATATTTAGGTGAAAATCTAAATTTACATAATTATCATAGACGTGGTCAATCAGCCAAGATCAGGTTCTTTACTTTAGCAATGGAGCTATGAGGCTAACGTTGCTGACAACAATTATAATACAATGTCAACAGTCAAAAACCTTTCTGTAAGTACACTCCCCTGCAGGGGGCCAAGCTCAATATAATGGTTTGTTCCTGATGGTTTTGGCGTGGTCAGAGTCCTTAAACCTTAGAGAGAATATTTGGTCTCACAAACTAGCTTGGCAATGTTTTTCAACTGTATGAAGCCATCAGCGCTCAGTGGAACAATACTGACTCTTCTTTCTGTAAAAGGTCGTCCACAAATTTACTCACAAGACTTTTGAAGAAAAACATTTAAAACATTTAAAGAAATAAAAGTGAACTAAAGTTATGTACCAAGTTACTTTACTTGTTTAATGATTTGTTGTTAAGACCATTAAAAGCTCAATGTTTTGCCTTTTTTTTTTGCACAGAAGTATACATCGCCAAAACTTCCCTCAGCCTGTATCTCAAACTTTATCCAGCTCTTCATTAGGTTATGGTTTACGACACAACATGACTTACTGTAAACTATTAAAATGAGTAAAACTTTACTTTGTAGCTTAATGCTGGGAGCAACCATTTAAAACAATATAACGTGTCACAGCCTTTTGAAGTTGTACCTTATATATGACACTATAGAGTGAGCACATTCAGCACAGTGATAAGCTAACTGGGGGGGTCTGTTAGCTGATACAGCCAGCTAAGTCCAGATGGCAGTTAGTGTTCTCCTCCAAGCGTGTTCGGCTGTACAATCACGATGCATTAGTGGTTGTTTGGAAAGATGCAGTGTATTCAACCTACCAGCCTTGTGTGAGGAGGAGGCCTAGCTAGTAGGTAGGAATAAGCCACAACTAATTTTGGGAAAAATAAAAACACATGCAAAAAAAAAACTTGATTAAGCATGTCGGGTGTCACTGTACTCACGGTTCTTTCAACGCAATTTCGGAGATCATCCAGTGTTGTGGAACCAACTACGAATGCTCTGAGCTGTTGGAGGTTCACTGCCCACGAAAATCATGTTGCACAGTTATGACTGATTCACTCTTATTAGAGTGGAGAACGCAAAACGCTTTCTGCTCAGGGGTCGCATCTCCTCGCAGACTGAAGGGAGCCATCTTCGGGTGACTGTCAGAAACTCTATGACCCCCCCTTTCGGTTGGTATGTGATTGGTTCCTAGACACCTCACGGTTGTAAAAATATAGCGCTTTGAAATCAGATGAATCTTTTTGAATCACCCTGTATTATATCAGCCAAAATACATCAGCTCAGTATTGGCTGTTATATCATATTTAAAGACTTAGGTTGGATCAGCGGCTAAAAAACAGGAGTGGGGCATCTCTACGCTCCAAATTTGGACTGGTGCTTTATTTGCTCTCACACAGACTTCAGCACACAAAGCTGGCCAGTATTTAGGCAAAGATCTTAAAGAGCTCACACTGTCATGGATGTGTCTGATATCAAAGGAGGTTAAAACTGCTTATGGTCACAGCTGGTGCTTATAGCTTTAGTACACCCTCTCTCAAGCACAGCCAAAGACAACTCCGCAGAAAGAAAGAGACGTTGCAAGAAACAGAAGTTCAATGTATTTGGGATTTCGCCTCACCTAACTCAAGCTGAAGGAGGGACATTCTCTTACATTCAGTTTCCATTCACTTTTTACAAGTCTCTGTGGTTTTATTTGTTTGTGAGCAGAGGAGGCAGAAGCATGACCTGAGCTCCTGCAGTGCAATGGTACCCGAGAGTTTTCAGGAAGCTGTTTTCATTTAAGACTGATCAAATGAACTATGGTGTATGTTTTCTGCAGCCAGTTTTAGTCCATTCTGCTCCTCAACATAAACTAAGCAATGCAGAGTAGATTCTTTATCTGTACTTTGCAATCCATCAAAAATGCCTTGATGTAATAGTCTAAAAGAAGACCGGCCTGCATTGTGCTGGTGAATCATGTGATTCCTTGACATTCCTTCACAGAAACTTATCTGGAACATCTGCCATTGTCCAGGAGGCTCACAGAACAACTGATTTATTTATTTTTTTAAAAGTTGCATATTGCGATATGTAATATAGTATCGCAAACACTACTACTGCGACAATGATTAGCAAACAATGTACTGTGCAACCTTATTAAAATACACTAGGAATTAAATTAGTAGTGTACTTTCACCTAAAAATGACATTGTGAGCAAAACTGTGATTATTTTCTATAAATTAAGGTTCAGGCTTGGTTTTGGCGAAGAAGACCAACAGATCCACTTTTTCTGGCTTGAGACTTGAACGCTAAATGTAGCGTGCATAGCCGTGCCGTTAGCAACCTGAAGTCTTTTTGGAGAAAAACAACTTTCACACAGTCTTGTGTTCGCCTGAGCAGAACTCCTAATCACCATGTCATTTATTCTCCCCATGGCTTGGGTTTCTAGGGCTGTTGAGGCATAGACAAGTACTGTTTAAGCATATGTAATATATACAATATCGTTTTAATTATTTTGCTGGCTTTATAGTGCACCATTTTTTAATCTGGCACCAAAGCAGAGCCTCACAAAGACTTTCAACATTGTAGCCAAGGCTGTTAACAGCTAGCAAGGGACAACAGCTCATGCATTTCGTGGACAACCACACCTCATCCCCAAACCCCAACCGTGCAGCACAAAAGCTCAGTACTGAATCCAAAAAACACAAACTCGAAGCCCAAACCTCAGCCAAACACACCAGGACAAGGAAAAATTCAACCATAGTCTAGTTAGCACCACTACTCAAAGACCTGAGATGCCTAACATTCTGCCCAACATCAATGTTCATGAGTTGGCAGTTGCTTCAAAATGCCCAGAAGAACAACTGACCAAATGAATACACATTTGTAGTAACGGAAAACATTCAACAAGATCTGCCATCCATGTTCAAACAGGTGTTCCAGACCAACCAGACCTTTCAGTGTGGTGTGAAAACTACATCACAGAAGGCTCTTGGATGCTTTGTACCCCAGACAACATGTCCCAGAGCTATGACATGGGAAGGATACTGTAGATTTGGCCATAGGACCATGTGTTACTAATTGTAAGGTTTCCAAATAGTATTTCCAGCGAAGTTTGCCGTCAGCCAATGGTGGGAAATTACGTATAGAGAATAAAGTTGAGAAACAACAAGGAATCTTAAGCGGTCACAACTGTTGTGCTGGGCAACTAATGACAAAGTCAACTCTTTTCCAGAGAAACACTCAGCACTGTAAACTGACTTAACAGGAACCGTTAGTGAGTTTATCTTACCCTCAACAATGCCTTGCTAAAAAAAGTAAATAAGGGGTGAGAAAGAGATGGAGCTAGCTAGCAAGTTAATAATGCACAGATGGCATTTGTTGACAGGAAATGTCAACAATCTTTGAGACAGACATGACAAAAGCAAAATGCAATGATGCGCAAATCATTTATACCCTATATTTAATTGAAAATAGTACAAAGACAACATATCAAATGTTGAAACTGAGAAATTATATTGTTTTTTGAAAAATATATGCCCACTTGTAATTTGATGCCAATAACACGCTCCAAAAAAGTTGAGACAGGGGGAACAAAAGGCTGATCTTTGGGCCCTCAGGTGGCACTGCATTAAAAACAGACATGATTCTGTAGTGGAAATCACTGCATGGGCTCAGGAACACATCTGAAAACCACTGTCTGTGAAAACAGTTTACCACTGCATCCACAAATGCAAGTTAAACTCTAAAACACAAAGATGAAACTCTGCATTAACAGGATCCAGGAATGCTGCCACCTCTCTGGGCCCAAGCTCATTTAAAATGGACTGAGGTGACGTGGAAAAGTGTCCTGTGGTCTGACGAATCAACATTTGAAATTCTTTTTGGAAAGTGATGGACACTGTGTCCTCCGGGCTAAAGACGACTCAGCTTGTTATCAGTGGACAGTTCGAAAGTCAGTATTCATGATGGCATAGGGGGGCATTAGTGCACATAGCATGGGTGACTTGCACATCTGTGAAGGCACCATTAATGCTGAACGATATATACAGGTTTTGGCAACATATGCTGCCATTCAGATGACGTCTTTTTCAGGAAAGGCCTCGATTATTTCAGCAAGACAATGCCAAACCACATTCTGCATGTATTACAGCAGCACTGCTCCGTATTAAAAGAGTCCGGGTGCTAAACTGACCTGCCTGCAGTCCAGACCTGTCACCACTGCAAACATTTGGCACATTATGAAATGAAAATACAACAAAGGAGACCCCGAACTGTTAAG